GATGATAAAAAAGAATTAGTAATTTATCAGCTGGTAAGCAATATGATCAAATCTTGGGAGAAATGTTTTCTTTTCTTTTAATAGGAATTATAAAACGATCTAATTTTCAAATATTTTTTATTTAATTTTTTACAATATAAATTAATACTTACTTTTTTGATATAATGTATGTCATTGTCAAAACTTATACTAATATATATACCTAGCATTAAGTAAATAATTCCTCCAATAAATATGGAAAATGTAAAATATGTTTGGGTAGTTAAATATTTTCGATTGGCACTCATCCACTCGATTATCTTCGTTGACAAAGGTACGCGTAGTTAACATTGTTAAAATTAGACAAAGATAAACCCAGACGGCCACACCGCACTTTTACACCCACACAAAAACAGGCCCGCAGAGTAGTATTTCCACAAATATTCTTTATCAAGAATTCTTAGCCATGTTCACCCTTCTTACTCCGCTTAAGTGAAAGCTTTAGATATCGTAACAATGACTGACTTGTTAATTCGAGTGAAAAGAATTTGATTTTCTTTAAATAAAATTTCGAGTTTAAGTATTGTTAATGAAAAAATAAGTATTAAGAGAGTTTCTTTTTAATAGAATCTGACGCGACTCGATTTCAAATTAATCGAAACTCAATATGGTTATCAAATATTGAAAGGTTAAAAAAAAAAAAAAAATAATAAGAGTTTTTGAATGGGATGAAACACTTAATATTAAAAAAAAAAAAAAACCCTCCAAAGACCATCTCCGGGACTCCGTCATCATCAGAATGTTTGCTTGAAAATTCTACAGCTTTGTTGCATGAGAACATGTAACTTTGCACGATATAATTATTACCTTCTTTTAAAGATTTTACAGTTTTTTATTTTTCTACAATATAATTTGGTAAATTCCTTCTTATTTAACAAATTTAAAATGGACACCATTAATTTTGTTGACTTTTTCTCTCTTTTTTTCATTTTATAATTTAACGTAATAGAGTGGATCTATATTTTTAAATAGAGGGAGAGTTTTTCTCCTTTCCTATTCCATATAAATTAAGATAAAAAATATAATTAATATACATTTAAGAGTCCATATTAAAAAAAACTTTTTAATTTATATTTTGTTTAGAAGTAGTGGATTGGGATGTAACTTTGGGTTTTTTTTAAAAAAATAAAATATATATACAAATTAATTAAAATT